CTGACCCCGCCAGAAGACGCCCCCCTGGACAGCAGGGCCTGCTCCCTGCCTACCCTTCCTGTACCCCAAGAGCACTCCTTGGACACCAGGGCCTGCCCCCTGCCTGAAGATGCCCCCCTGGACAGCAGGGCCTAGCCCCCGCCTGAAGACACCCCCCTGGACAGCAGGGCCTGCACCCTGCCTACTCTTCCCTGTACCCCAAGAGCACTCCTTGTCCACCAGGGCCTGTCCCCTGCCTGGAGACGCCCCCCTGGACAGCAGGGCCTAGCCCCACCGGGTGGGCCCTCGCCCTCAGACGTACTCCCCGGACAGCAGGTCCTGTAGCAGTTTGTTGCGGTCGCGGAAGCAGCCCAGGGAGTGCATACTGTCCAGCACGTCAGGGTCCAGGTCCTCCAGGCTGGGCAAGGATCGGAGCTGCACCTTGCGGGGGATGGGCTGCTCAGGCTCTGGCTCGTTCTTGCCCCCTCTGTGGACGACAAGGTGTTGCCATGGTTACTGCCTCTGGGCCATGGCTCCTCTACCCCCACCCTGAGGCGGCTGGGGAGGGTGGGAGGCCTGGCTCTTGCCTGGGACCTGGGGTCCTGCTGCTCTCCCTGTGCCCAGCCCCTGGGCGCCTCCTGCGTCCTGCCCACACCCACGCAGGCCAATGAGGGTCCTGCCCAGAGCTGCTGATGGCCTGGGCGGGGCGGGGCCTGCCCTGGGCCAGTGCCCCCCCCCCAGCAGGTCCTCTGGCCACAGCGACAGGCAAAGCAGGCAGTTAGCGGGTAAAGAGCTACTTACATATACCACACGTGTTTCTGAATGTGTTCTAGCTACAAGAAAGAGAAACAAGGAGTTAGTACAGGGGAGGGCGGGGCCCATGTTAGGGGCTGGGTGGGGAGGGGCCAGGAGGGAGAGAAGGGGCGGGGAGAGGGAAGAGGAGGAGTGGAGAGAAGGGAGGAGGATCCAGAAGGCAGAGGGGGAGATGGGGTGGGGGGAGGGAGGAGGACCAGGTGGGAGGAGGACAAGGAGGGAGGGGGAGGAGGACCAGGAGGAAGGGAGCAAGGATGGGGGGAGGAGGACCAGACTGGAGGAGAACTGTGGAGTGCACAGGAGGATCGGGTGGGAGGAGGACAAGGAGGGGGGAAGAAGGAAGGGTAGGGAGGGGTGAGGAGGACTAGGAACGGAGAGAAGGAAGGGTGGGAGGGGGAGGAGGACTAGAAGGGAGGTGGCGAGGTAGGGGGGTGGGAGGAGGGGGAGGAGGACCAGGAGGGGTAAGGAAGAACAGAAAGGAAGCAGAGGAGATGGGAGGAGAGAGAAGAGGGGAGGACAGCAGGATAAGGAAGGTGGAGGAGGAGGGGGGAGGGGAGGGAGAGGGATGGGGAGGGGGTGCATTCCCAGGCCAGCACCCCTGCTCCCTCCAGAGAAAAGGCAAACCCAGAAAAGGTAGGGGGTTGGGGGCAGGCTGCAGGCAGGGCAGGGGCCAGTAGGGGGGAGGAGGAGGCAGGGGGCCAGAGCCCCTCTCTCGGGGTTGCTATGCTACGACGGCTCAGCCTCACCCTTGGTGGCCTGGGGGGATGAGGGCAGGGGAGCCAGGAGGGCCCGTGCCACCTGTGCACAGGCCGGGGCCCGGGTGCGAGCAGGAGGCTCAGAGGGCGGCCCCAGCCTACTGACACATCCTCTCCTCCCTGAGCAAGGGCCAGCGGAGCTGGGGAGGGTGAAGAGGGCAGCCGTGGGGTGAACGCCCAGCCCCAGAAGGGCCAGCCCACAGGGAGTCCTTAACCCAGGATGAACCAGCTTGGCCCCAGTTCTCCAGGAAGGAGCTGGAAACCCAGCTTAGTGGCTCTGCCTGACCCTCCTGCAACCACCCCCACTGACACACTGACTGTGGGGACCCACTGAGGGCTCGCACCAGAGTGCCATGTAGGCAGTGGCCCAACACAGCTCTGGGCTCCTCTGTACCACTGACAGGCACGGGCCTATCACCCCCTGTGCACACACACAGCTGTACACACATGCACCGTGACCTCCATTCCATAAGCACAGACATGGCTTGCCCTGCACCCACCTGTACACACACACCCCTATGCATGTAGGCGCACCCCCCATGTATACATGTGCACATACCCTTGTGTATACGTGTAAACCCCCCCACATATAAACATGCACTCACTCCTGTGTATACAGGTGCATACACAGATGTACACATAACATGATCCCTCTTGTTCACACATAAATATGGAATAGCTGTGCTCACCTGTACACACACACACACAGCCCTAAGCGTGCAAATACACAATGTACACGTGTGTGCACACAATTCCCTTGTTCCTCACTCACTGGCACAGGCCTGCTCTGCTGCCACCTGCACACTCACATACACACACACCTGTGTGTGTTGTTGTTGTTATTTGCCTTCAAGTCGGACCCGACTCAAAGCGGCCCCTCTTTGGCTTTCCAAGGCAGTATCACCACGGAAGTAGATTGCCCAACCTTCCTTCCGAGGAGTGACTGGTGGATTTGAACCTCCAGCCTTCTGGTTAGCAGGCAAGTGCCTTAGGCACTACACTACCAGAGCTCCCACACCTGTGTATACAGGTGCATATACACACGTGCACACGTCACAATCCACACACAGGTAAGGAATCCTCTGTGTCCACGTGTGCACACATGCACACCTATGCATGAAGGTCCACATACTGTACATACGTGTGCACATGATTCCCTCTTGTTCCACACTCACAGGCCCTGCTGCCACCTGCGCACTCGCACAAGTATTCATGCACACACACATAAACGTGCACACACGCACACACATCGTGAACCCCCATCCCGCATACACAGGCCTGCCCTGCACCCCTCAGCTCCCAGCCCCCCACCCACCCGCACGGAAATTCTCTCCCGAGGAAGGTGCCCAAGAGGAAGGGCTGGCGTTGCTCTTGTCACAGGGCATCCGGGAAGGGCTGCGCAGGGGCAGCGGTGCAGGGAGCCAGGAAGGAAGGGGGCGCAGGCCGTGCCGAGATGCACAGTGGAGGGTGGAGGAGGGGCTGCCTGGGGAGCAGGGTGCGGGCACACACCGTGAGGCGCCGCGCCGCGTCCACCTCGATCATGCCGCGCAGCAGGCTCTGGCAGTCGGGCGGGATGAAGTGGGGCATGTGGAAGACGCCACGCTTGACCTTCTCCAGCAGTTGCCGCAGGTTGTCGTCGTCGAAGGGCAGCGCTCCCTGCGGGCGTGAGGGGAGCGTCAGTGCGCACAGTGAGGGCAGCACCGCGGACAGCGCCGCGCGCCGCGGACAGCGCCTGCGGGCAGCACCGCGGACAGCGCCGCGCGCCCTGCGGGCCGCCGCCAGGATGAGGGCGGGGGCGGGGGCCGACTGGGAAGGGGACAAACAGGGCTGGGAGGGGGACGGAGGGGACTGAGGAGGGGAGAAGGGGCCTGGGACAATGGGGTGTGGGGCGGAGGACGGCCGAGAGGGTCAGGAAAGGAGCTGGAAGGGGGAGGAGGAGGAGGCGCAGGGCGGGGAGAAGGGTCTGGAGCAAGAACGGGGGTGGAAGAAAAGCGGGCACAGGCCTGGGAGAGAGGGGCGCAGGGAGGGGGAGAAAGAGGGAGAGGCAGCGGCGGGCGCAGGGGTCAGCGAGGAGCGGAGGGGCGGGGGAGGGGGAAGCAGGGAGCAGGCGGGGCCTCACCACCAGCAGGGCGAACAGGATCACACCGCAGCTCCACACGTCCGCCTTCCGGCCGTCGTACTTCTCGCCCTGTGGACGGCAGCACCCAGGCAGTCGGCTGGGGCGCAGGGCCCGGCCCGCGCTCGCTGCGGGTGGAGGGGCTCAGGGGCCGGGTCATGGGTGCCCAGGCGTGGGGTCGGGGGGAAGCCCCTGTGGCTACTTACCCGGATCACCTCGGGGCAGGCGTAGTGGGGGGATCTGAGGACAAAAGCGGCAGGTCAGGACGGGGCGCAGGACTCACTCTCCAGCCCGTGGGCCCGCTCCCAGGACCACACGGGTAGACCCTCCCTGGCCCGTGCAGCTCATGGTCGTTCCCCACGCTGCGCCCTCATGTGGATGCGTCAATGTTGGGCTGAGAGCAGACGCTTAGTCCACTGCCCAGGATGCGCTCATGGACTATGGGCCAGACACCCCAACCCAACCTCCTGGGAAGAGACCAGGTCGGGGAGATGGGAGGGACACAAGGCTGTCTGCCATCTGCCCAGATCTCACTTGGGTTGTCCTAGATCCTAACCCCATGGGGACGGGGTGGGAGTAAGCAAGGTTAGGAGCATGCATGGAGAGGTGGGTCCTCCACGGCAGGGGGTGGGGAGCACCCGCAGCAGGGGCGGCCTACGTGAAGGGGAGGGGCTTGAGTAGAGGAGGGGCCTATGTGGAGGGGAAGGGCCTGAGCTGAGGGGTGGGGCCTGCAAGGAGGGGTGGAGCTGGAGGGGCCTGCATGGAGAGGCAGGGCCTGAGGGGAGGAGAGGGGCCTGCATGGAGTAGAAGGACCTGCGTGGAGGGGCAGGGCCTGAACGGAGAGGAGGTGCCTGAGTGGAGTGGAGGAGCCTGCACAGAAGGGCGGGACCTGAGTGGAGGGGCGGGGCCTGAGTGGAGAGGAGGGGCCTGCACAGAGGGGCGGGGCCTGAACGGAGAAGAGGTGCCTGAGTGGAGTGGAGGACCCTGTACAGAAGGGCGGGGCCTGTGTGGAGGAACGGGGCTGGCACACCAGCGATGACTCCCAGCAGGGCAGGGACTTGGGCAGGGCAGCCTTGCAGAGCTGAGGCAGAGAGCAAGAGAGTCTGAGCTGGCAGGGGTACCTGACTCCCACAGCAGGGTGCCTGCTGGGCTCATCTCCCCACCTCCGCCTAGAGAGCTCAGGCCATGTGCTGAGGAGGGGCTAGCCCTAGCCCTCTTCCTACACAGTGGGGTCAGGCAGGGTAGAAGGTGACCCTGGGCTTCAGGATTCCTCGGCTTGGGCCTTCCTGGCCTAAGAGGCTGCTCGCAGCTTGCCCAGTCTGGCTCTGGACACCTCCACCTGTCCAGTCGAGGCGTTCCCTGGGCTGCGTGGGGAGCCTGGTGTCCCGGAGCCCAGGACTCGCAGGGTCGCGCTGGGGTAGCAGCACTGGGCACCGATGTCGCCCTCCGCCTCTCCCGCTGCTCCCGGGAGGCAGCACCGGCAGTGACCAGGAGGGGGCGCGCGGCAGGTGGGCCTGGCTGGCGGGCCCGCAGTTTCCCGGCGCGGATGGGCCAAGAGCGGGCGCAGCCACTCACCCGCAGCTGGTCTCCAGCAGGCTGTCGCCAACCTGCAGCGACGCCATGCCGAAGTCGGCGATGCGAATATTATTCTTCTCGTCCAGGAGGAGATTCTCGGGTTTCAGGTCCCTGTGGCTGGAGAGGAAGGCGGGTTCAGGTGGCGTCCGCCTTGCCTCTGGAGCTCCCAGGCCTCAGAGATGCCCCTTGCCCCTAGGGCCTTGGGCTCAAAGCCCGACTCCAGCAGCCCCAGGGCAGCCCCCCTACCCAGCCTCCCCTTCACCACCTTGGCCTGCCTCCCCTCCCCACCTCCAATAGACACAGCTAAGAGGCCAATGGCAGCCCAGCCTGGTGATGTCACATCCAGCCAATCAGAAGTCGCCCGCCAGCGTGGGCTGGCTCAGTTTCCGGTCTTTTGGGGATGAAAGGGGTGCCTCCTGCCTGGTACTCATCCAGCATCCACCGGCCCTCCCCTCCAGGCTCCCCCTCCTGGTGGGCCTGCACCCTCTACTCTGAAGCCAGGGACGCAGGCCTGCTCTGCGCCCCTACCCTCCCTGTCTCCCCCACCTGCCCTCCTCTGGTCTAGGGCCTCTCACAGCACACCTGACCGGCCCCCAGACCCTGCAGGGGTGAAGACTAAGAAGGGGCTCCTACCCTAGCAGAAACCTTCCCGATGATTCCTCTGCAGGGGAGTTGGGGAGGGGTACTATCTGTGATGGGTGGAAACATACCTCACGGGAACGGGTGCAGCTGGGAGAGTTGGGGAACATTGGAGAGGGGATGGGGCACTTTAAGAGGATGGGGGTACCTGGAAGGGAGGCATTGGGGGGGGCAAGGGGCATCTCAGGAGTCGGGATGCGCCTAGGAGGACAGGGGCACTTGAGGTCATGGAGGGATGGGTCACCTGGGTGTCGTAGGAGGTGGGAGGATGGGGTTATGGGGGGATGGAAGGATGGGCACCTGGAAGTCATGGGGGTCATGGAGGGATGGGGGTGGGGACCTCAGGAACACGCACCATATGGAATGGCTGTGGCAGAAGTCCAGGGCGGAGATGATCTGTCTGAAGAACTTGCGGGCCTCCTTGGGAGTCAGCCTCCCCTTTTTCACAAGGTAGTCGAAGAGCTCTCCGCCGGACACGTGTTCTAGCACCAGGTACCTGCGAGAGACCCAGCAGGTCAGGCAAGTGCACAGGTGTATCCAGCCCACAAGAGGCTGCCCGCCAGCCAGTGCAGTGATGGCCAGAGATTGTGGCCACCACCCCAGCCCCTCATGTGGTCACGATCCAGCACCCCCACCCTTCAGTGCAAGGGGGCCTGGTGCCCCCAGATCCTCGAAGCCCACCAGGTGTCCTAAGCCCACCCAGCCTGAGAGCAGGACCCTCTGAGTGCCTGGGGCCTGGGAGCGATGACCTGTCCGCCCAAGATGACGGTGCCGGGCCCTGGCTTTGCTGATGGAGCAGGGGAGTCGCCGGCCCTCCCTGGCCAGCACAGGCTGGGCACTCAGGTCCAGCCAAATCGGACATGCTCAAGATAGGGCTTGGAGCTGGGCGTGAAGAAAGGCCTAGGAGAGGAACTCAAGCAGGTCTGCCAGGGACCCAGGGAGGGAAGAGGGTGAGAACGAGGCCCGGCTGGGTGTGGCTGGAGGGGCAGGTGCCCAGGGGGGTCTCTGAGAGGCAGCCCGTGGCACTGGAGCCCAGGCCAAGCATCTGTCCTGCTCGGCGCCCGCTGGCTGTGCAGCCTTGCACTACTTCCTGGTTTGTAAGAGCAAGCCAGCATGAGCCCTTGTCCCACTGATGCATCATCCTGCCCGAGCCCAGCAGGGACCTCGCTGGCGCTGACCACGATATGGAGCAAGACCACCATGCAAACGTAAAGGCGTTGATTGGACTGTGTGGATCATGACAAACTATGGACAATGCTGGGAAGCACTGGAATTCCAGAACTCTTAACTGCTCATGAGTAACCTGTGCATAGACCAGAAGGCTGTGATTCGAACAGAACAAGGGGACACAGCATGTTTAAAATCAGGAAGGGAGTGTGTCAGGGCTGTATCCTTTCACCATACTTATATGCTGAACAAATAATCCAAGAAGCTGGATTATACGAAGAGGAACACGGCATCAGGATTAGAAGAAGACTCATTAACAACCTGCGATGCGCAGGTGACATAGCCTTGCTTGCTGAGAGTGAAGATGACTAGAAGCACTCACTGATGAAGATCAAAGACTACAGTGCATCTATATACTATAGGATGGATTACACCTCAACATAAAGCAAAAAGCCTCAGAGCTGGACCGATAAGCAACATCACCATGAATGGAGGAAATACTGAAGTTGTCAAAAACTTCATTTTACTTGGCTCCACAATCAACACCCATGGAAGCAGCAGGTGGTACTGCACTGGGCAAATCTGCTGCAAAAGACCTCTTTAAGGTGTTCAGAAGAAAGATGTCACTTTGAAGACTAAGGGGCACCTAACAGAAGCCATGGTATCTCCATCTCATATGCACGTGAAAGCTGGACAACAGATAAAGGAAACAGAAGCGAAGCGCCTTTGAGCGCGGGTGCTGGTGAAGGACACGGGAAGTACTGAGTGAGCACAGAGCCGTCCTGGAGGAAGCACAGCCGGAACGCTCCTTGGAAGCGAGGATGGCAGACTTCGTCTCCCCTACTCTGGTCATGTTGTCAGAAAGGACCACTCCCTGGAGAAGAATGCCATGCTTGGTAGGGTGGAGGGTCCGTGAAAAAGGGGAAGGCCGTCAACGAGGTGGACTGACAGTGGCTGCAATGATGGGCTCGGGGACAGCAAGGCTGTGAGGCTGCCACAGGACCGGTCCTGTTTCCTTTTGTTTACATGGGGTCACTCTGAGTCGGAGCCGACCTGACGGCACCTAATAACAACAACAGCATGAAGGCCGGCAGCTCAGCCTTGTGTCTAAGGACCCAAGGACTATGGGGCTTTCTGCAGAACAGCAGAAGTGGGGGCTGGGGACCAGGAGGCTTCCCAGGGCAGTCCCCCTGGAGCCACCACAGACACATAGAGAGGACAAGGGCCTCGCCGAGGCCACGCGTGGTGATGGCACAGCTAGGGTGCATGCCTGCTCCGCGGCCCCACCCCTGCCGCCATCCCGTTCCCGGGACAGTGAGAACCAAGGTCCTGGGCCGTTCGACTCGCCTGGGGCCACGCAGGGAACAGGGGGTGGAGGTGGGAGTCCGACCATGCCTGCTGACCCCCAGTCCTGCCACGAAGAAGGTCGGCAGCCCAGGGCCAAGGCGCCCCAGGGGCATCCCCAGGTGGGGCCTGCAGGTGGGCAGGACCCCGGTCGAGTGAGGGACCCCAAGCATTGGGTGCAGAGGCGCAGTGGGAGAAGGGTGGGTGGTGGCCTCGTCTGGGAGCCCCAGCAGTGTCCCAGGAGCCTGCCCCTGGGTCCGGCAGCGGTGGGACTGAGCCCGCCGCCCAGCCCTCCAGACCCCTTGCTGCCCACGGGCCGCCCAGGCCCGGCCCCCGGCCGTGCGGGCTGCGGCACCCGTTCTGGCGCCGGCCCGCCGCCCACTCCGGGGAGCAGCCCACCTCTGCCCCCCAGCTCTCCAAACCCAGCAATACCTACAAATATTTTTTATTTTCATAGACGTCGTGCAGCTTCAGGACGTGCGGGTGCTCGATGAGCTTCAGGATGGCTATCTCCCGCTCCACCTGCAGAGGGCGCACAGCGTCAGCGTCACGGGGCGGGGCGCGGGGCGGGGCGTCGCGGGGCCGGGCGCACAGCGTCAG